ATTGGGTGACGTTTGGAGCCACTTTACTTATAGTGTCGATTCATACAAGACCGAATGCAACGTTTCCACGGGAGAAGACAGCATTTGCATCCGCAAGTTGCTGGGGAAAAAACACTACCAACCTCAAGACATCAAAGTGCATCATCCCAATATATACAAAACATTAAGAACACCTTCCTAATATTGAGTTGCACCCCACCTTTTGCCCTCAGAACAGCCTCGATTTGTTGGGGCATGGACTCTACAAGGTGTCGAAAGCGTTCCACAGGGATGCTGGCCCATGTTGACTCCAGTTCTACAGTTGTGTCGAGTCAGCTGGATTTCCTTCGGGTGGTGGACCATTCATCTACACTAATGGAAGTGGATTTATAATATAATATGCCATTTAGCAGACACTTTTATCCAAAGCGACTTACAGTCATGTGTGCATACATTTTACGTATGGGTGGTCCCGGGGATCGAACCCACTACCCTGGTGTTACAAGCGCCGTGCGCTACCAATTGAGCTACAGAGGACCGCAAGTGAGCTACTTGTTTGACCGCAAGTGACATCAATAAAGGGATCATAGCTTTCACCTGGTCAGTCTGTCATGGGAAGCGCAGGTGTAGGCTTACCCTGGCATGACGTTTTGATCACCATGTAAATCTGTCTCGGACTTTTATCAATCTATTAGTCTTTTTTAACTCTCAGATTCGAAAATGCTAATTAGGATCAAAGTAGACATCATGCAAGACTACAAAAGCCTCCAAGCTCCTGCACGTCATTTCTAGCTGACACCTTGGCTAACGGGTATTGTGTCAATTTAAAACCTGCACAAGAAACTTCACATAATTGTAAATTCAAGAAATGTTGCCAATTTATTCATGACTAAATTTAGCTAACGTTAGATTTTTTACCTGGAGAGATTTACACAGTTATCCAAACTTCACGCCAGGGTAAGTGTACACGAAACACAGCCCTCATTTGAAGTGTTTCTAAAATCCCCTTATGGAAAAAATGAATGGTGGAAAACGATTGGAGCCATTTCCTTGTTTGACCGCTAGGTTTTATGGGTATTATGACTCATACTGTGGTACTCTATAACAGCTAGTTTTCAGTTTTCCTCTTCCCCACTCAGACAGTCCTAGGAAAATTCTTGCTTGAGAAATTGCTCTTTGCTAAAAAGCTATTTTTGGTTCTTTTTGAACACTTTAATTGAAAACAATCACAGTATCTAGGTTTCCAGTCACTTGGCGACCGATTTCCATGTGAATATTCTAAAATCTGCATAAAGGAAATATGCGCAATTACCACCAGTGGTGTTTCCACCAAACTGACTTGTTGCAGATAAAAAATAATTGTGTGATGTAGTGCACACAATGTACTTTTTCACTTAAGTTTTCATGTACTGAATAAAAATCAAAAGTTGAATGTGTTCCCA